TGAATTTCATCCAGCTTCTTAAATGAAGGAAATCCTAAGCATGATTTCCCTTAAACACTGAATTTCCTGTTACATAAGGTTAAAAGGATTCCAATTTAATTCCTCAAAAACAGCTCAGATCAGAAGTGTAAATAGATATGCCTGTGATTTGCTCAGCAAACCTTAAATAAAATTCATAGACATTTTCTACATGAAAGTTATTACCAAATGTTTCTGTTTGGTTTCATTAATAATTATGGCCATACATTTGAAGGGTTAAGTCCCTGGAGTGGTTTTTTTGAGGCAAAAATATACACGGAAGCTCTTAGCATAAAAGTCACACTTGAGACCTTAGATAAACAGATGGGGACTGTGAAACATGGAGCAGGAAGAGGGGCAGAGCTGGTACACCCAACTCTGGGCACCAGATGGGATATTTCACCTCCTTGGGCCTCTGTTTTCTCATCTACAAGATAAGGAGATGGAAGAGATGACCCCTTAGGACCCAGTTCTAAAATTCTCCGATTTAAACAAGTGTCCAACAGTACTTTGACTTCAGCTGCACTCCAATTACCTGGCTAAACCACTAGAAGGCACAAGAAGACAGGGTGACTTAGGNTGGGCGGGCCTCAGGAGGTCTGCGAAACCCTGGAACTTATAAAGAAAAGTGTGTATGACTGCGTTGATATGCATTGTGGCCTAATGACGAAGAACACAGGCTTTGGCGCCAACTACCCGGGTACCAATCATGGCTCCACCATTTACGACTTCTGTGATCTTGACCAGTCATTTACTCTCTCATCCTCCCATCTTCAAATGTGGGAAATACCTTTTAGAGTTGTGAGAAGTAAATGAATTAATACATGGAGAGCATTTAGAACAGTGCCTGTTGCATAGTAAAGGCTAAATAATGTTGCCATAATCATCATATTAGGTTCTCAAAGGGGCCCATGATCTCCAAAAAGAGTTAGAACCACTTGTGCAGGACAAGCCCCCATTCAAAAGGAGAGCTAGGAAGTCTAGTGATGGGACCCCCAAGGATTACAGAGAACGGCTAAGCTGGGGTCTGAATTAACCTTCTACCACCACGGTGGCAGGTGGTGGGACCACAGGGTGGGTTGTCACCAATTCTAGGAAGTTCTTCTACTCACATTGTCCCTACCTGGGATTTCCACTCATTTGAATTTCATCCAGCTTCTTAAATGAAGGAAATCCTAAGCATGATTTCCCTTAAACACTGANCAAACCAGAAAGTGGGGCCTTTCCTGGTGGTGATTCAGAGCCTCCTCCCAGTGAGGGCCTTTTAAGGAGCTTGAATAGTTCAAATTTATTTTTCAGACAAACACTAGAAATGATTCAAAGGGCTCTTACAGTCTTAGAATTTAGGGAAGAGAGCATGGTTGGGAATTCTGAGATAGAAATAAGATGACTATACCTTGTGTCTTCTATCACTTCATCTATCAGCTTCAACCACAATTCAGCCACCTGGTTTGCAGGAATTTTACCTTGAATCCCTGATTTTAGAGCCTCTATGTTTGATTGCTGAAGAATTTGGAAAGAGAAGAAATAATTGGTAATTGTGCATTATGCCATTATACCCAGTAAAGATTTAACTTTTATTTTGAAGAAAAAAATATATAAAAAGACTTAATTACAGAAAAACCAGAGGGTTTTTTAAAAATTTAATAATGCTACCATAGCTTAGTACTATTTATTTTTCTTCAAAATGCAATCATAGTAGTATGCTTAAGTAATAGGACA